ATTATTTTGAACGATTTACGTTTTATCAAACATAAGAGTCTTCTTCATTGAATCGCCAGCGTAATGTCAAACAAGTTATGTAGAACAGTAGAGCCCTTCATTTTAAGTCATTTTTTTATGATATACAAATACTCGTCCGTCGTGAGTGCACCTCGTCGTTAAAAGCGAACTTTGCACGTGTTCGTTAGATCTAACAGTGTATGTATGTACCTACCTACCTCGATCAGTGTTGACAGACCTACACCTGCAAGTAGTAACTACCGAATTAATGTTTTTATGCTCAATATTGCTGCGGCATCATTAACTTTCCTAATGATGCTTTAATTAATATGAGCTATTCAGTACGTGACTACGTTCTAATCGCACGGACTTATCTACATAGGTATGTCAAACGGAACGAACTATCGAGCCCACTTGACGTATACTTGGAATGCACCACCTGTGCATGCCGACATATTTATCTGAAAGAGTGAGTGGAATTGACTTCTGTTTCTCTGCCCAAGAAGGGCGTCTTCAGGATTTCTCTTTTTCCGGCCGTGACCGTTTAATGTGTGTGAATAATTTGCCGTACGTTAGCCTTATTTAGGAATGCTAATGGGCTGCCATTTTGCTTTAATAACAGTCCAGAGGACACGCTGTGCGCCCTGCCACCTCGACTGCAACTCATTACCCAGGAGGCTGCGGGCAGACGTTGGCATACCTGACGCACGGCAGGGAGCCGGCACGCGACTCCAAATCTCACGCCGCCATATCATTTCCGAAGGAACCAAACTGAATTCCTGCACCAATTTTGCAGTCATTCCTGCTGACCATTCGCATACTCAAAATCAAATTACATTTACTATATGAGTTCTGGCAACGCCGATGAGTCGGGCTCGACGTCAGAACGCCGATCGGACGACGCCGTGGGTTAGCCGCTCTGCTATTGCCGCATTCCGCTTTCACCAGTGACCGAACCCAATTCTGGGAAGGAATACCGACAGAGTGCCGTGCCTGTCCGGGGCGCGTGGGCGACGGCAGTGGAACGGGGGAGCGCCGCGACGGGTTTCTGACACCAAATGAGTCGAGCTGCATGGTGGTCGAGACGCGATACGACCATTGGCCTGATTGATTGATCTGTAATCACTACTGTCATGCCAACAGAATCCGGATGATATCCCTTTCATCCGGATGAATCCCTTCCATCCGTTCCTACTACATAGCACGTTAAATGACATCTTGTCTAGCAATGTCCCAAATCCAATTAGGCGGTCGGTATCAGGATCTCCATCTTTATTCAAGGGAGGCAGACCGCAGCTGACGCATTTCTGGAATCCCTCTGAGTCTCCTTAATTCAACTTTTGTATCTGGTATCCTATTGATAGAAGTGATGCAACTCGCCGTTGTTATTCAGTCGCAAGTGCTTTTCCAAGTAGAGTCTAGCCAATGTCAGTATTGTCATATCCCATGCTATGTTATCACTCCCTCCCTCCCTCTCTCCCTCTCTCTCTCTCTCTATCTCTCTCTCTCTCTCTCTCTCTCTCTCTCTCTCTCTCTCTCTCTCTCTCTCTCTCTCTCTCTCTCTCTCTCTCTCTCTCTCTCTCTCTCTCTCTCTCTCTCTCCCACCTCTTACCATGCTCAACCTCACTCGACCTTGGAGAAGCACGAGGTCACCCGTAGAATAACATAAAGCAGTGCGTGTCGAATACCAGCATCTAAACCCTGCGGCACCGGATGAAGCCCTCTGCTGCATAAATCGGCGCTGGCCACCGTATATTGGAGCTCTGCTGTAGTCTAGCGATGGCTCGTGTCGGGCTGGTCGAACGGCGGCCGGCGCCGGCACTGCCGCGGGAAAGGCCGACTGAACCGGACGGTGGCGGTGTCCAAGTAAGTCACCAGGTCAGCGGCGTCGGCGGCGGCGGCGGCGCGGCGGTACCGGCCCGCGGCCCGCGGTGGTGAGTGGCGCCTGTCGGCCGCTCGACTGTCACTTAGACCGAGCGCGCTGTCGATAATGAGCGCAGAGGCGTGTCGAGAGGGTACTGTCAGTGGGGGGGACTGTCACTGGACGTATAGGAGTGTCAGGACGGTAAAGTTAGCGGGGTGACTGCTACTGGACGTAAAGGAGTGTCAGGACTCTGGAGGGTAAAGTTAGCGGGGTGACTGCTACCTACTGGACGTGTGGGAGTGTCAGGAGAGTAAAGTTAGCGGGGTGACAGTGTCGCTGGGAACAGAGGAGTGTCAGATTGGTTCCTGGTTAGATTATCGGCAGGAACCGTCAGCGGGAGTATCGGTCAGGTCAGATCAGCCATTGTCACTGGGTGCAGCGAACTCACATCAGGTGACCTGTGTGGTGAGACCAGGTATAATCAGTCTGCCTTGCTGTATACAGTACCTATAGCTAGCAACGTGTAACGGTGCACTAGCGATGGTATCAGTCAGTTCACTGTTCGGTCAGCGGGCTCACGCAGAACAGGTGACGCGGACGTCCCCACTACTCTGAAAGATACCAGCTGTCATTCTACCGAATCTGCAACCGAGCACGTTGATCGAATGGTGCCGTCAATCCTTTGGGGGCGATAGATGCAGACGTCTGATGCACTATGCGTATTACGATGAACTTTCTGTGGTATTACAGTAGTATAGCCACCAAAATTGAACACTGATGCAGTGACCGTCACGGTTACTACTGCGCCCTGCTGGGGGTGTTAAAAGTTAAAACACCTCCAGCAGTTTTCGCAAATATCTCAGAAACGGCGCCGTGGAGCGCCGCTTTTTTTTGGCACACCTTATCATAAGCTGTTTTTGCATACCTATGTAGTAGAAATCTCAGATCAAAGGTCTCTCAATGTGACAGGTCACCAGGTCACGTCAAGTGACCTCACCTCAGAAAAAGTTACAATGCTTGCCATATAGCTTATACACTGAGTGACGAGTCGTTTTGAGACTTTCAGCAATTGATAAGGACAACAGTATGCATAAAACTCATATCTAAGAATTTTGATATCGATGACCGAAGATCAGGTCAGTTATGCGCCCTATCCTTTATAAGACAATGGGATAAAATTGAAAGGCCCCTCTTATGGACGGACGTCATTCTAAGCACTCAATGGCACGCGTGACCCTCCTTATGTCCCTGAGGTCATCTCAGGTCATGCGAAAGGTAGGTTATGCAACAATTTTCGCTAGTAACTTTTGATAGAGGCATGCTAGAGCGATGAAAACACATTAGATGTGTTCAGCTGGACGATACGGATCGATTGATATGCAACACGACCTTTTCCGGTCCGGTCATGACCTTGACCTGAGGTCAAATAGCTAAGTTGACCTTTCAAGGTCAACTTTTAGTTCGATCGACGCGTCCCGACAAGAGGAACACGATGCCAACAAACAGAAAGTATACCATTCGACGTGCCTGAGCATGGCCAACATGATATTGCCAAAATCGTGGCTCTGCGACAATTTTTGGTGGTTATTATTTACCAAAAACCGAAACCGTACCTTGGGGCACTTGACCTGACCTCAGAGGTCACCGGAGGTATCCTGAGACATTGAACTTGGGTACCGATTGTTGCGTTTCGTAACGGCGTACACGCTCTTTTTTCCGCGGGGCTCATAGCTCAATAGGCGTGAAACGGCGAGGTTGTCGTACCCAAGATTACTTTACTACTCGTCGTACCCGCCCCGTCGGCACTCGGCTAGGATGTATGTAGAAAACCAATAGGTCCGGCGAGGGTTAACATTTTGGAACTGCGTCAGCCTGTCAAATAAATAGCATTCACTTCCGTGCATCTTATGTATATTTTGACGTGCATTTCTATCGACATGACACATATCACTGGTAGACAACCAATATCGGAGTCTCAAAACAGCTCCCCATCCAACGCGTTGTACTGGTACTAACAATACAGGCAGAGTTAAGTACAAAGAAGGCATCATGTAACAATGGTAACTTTCGTACACAGCATTGACAGCAAGAAACATAGAAAATATCAAAATATTCATAATCAGAATGCGTTGCAGCGTGAATATTCGACACTTGCACAGTGTATGACATTCCGTAAAAAAACGACTATTAAACGTTTCGTGACTCGTTAATTTTCTGTGGCTGTTTTTTCACGTTGTAAGAGAGCGCGTGAAACAAGTATCTAAAAAAAAAAACTTTTACCTTTTCTTTGTTTCCGGAGTGGTTAGTGATAACATAGGAAGACGGTTTCAAGGCACTAGAAAGACACGTTGTTATCTCGACAGTTACCTTGTGAAAGTCCAATCACACTCGACATTATCAGACACAATCGCGGCAAGGGACACTCGATTGAAGCTTGGTCCCTATGCAATTAACGGTATATCAACAAAAAAGTTGGCCTGTCGTTATAATGCATCGTACATAAGATATTATACACAACAAATGCTGTCACTTGCTGCTTCATAAGGTCGAAATACGGCATCCCAAACAAATGAGAGTTTAACTTCGAACGGCCGGTGCCAACAAATGTCAACAGAATTCACCCTGGGCCTGAATTTTGTAATGAGTCTTCACCGTCAGAGAAATCGTACCCGTCGATCGTCACATAAATCGTAATATAAATATCATTCACAATAACAACTGATCATGCAGTTCCATTCAAAGATCGTGTGTAAGTCACGTCATATCAGCCACTGACCAATGCGTGAACTTTCAGTGTAGTCTACTTTACGCATTCCAATTCCATGACTCATCCCATGCATTACACGATCATTCAAGTCGAAACGTACCGTTTCCGGTGTCCCTCTTTTTACTTGTGTACGGTCCGGTTGCTGAAACTGATTCGGTACCTCTTTAACCGGTCTCATTTATAAAGGAAATCAAACCCTTAGATGGCTGCTGGGACATTGGTAACGTAGGTTTCTGATGAGTTTCGACGGAGCGGGAGTCGGGACGCAGCTGTTCAACATGCAGTTCAAGTGCTTTGCAATCATCACGAGCTAAACAAAAGCCTTGAACAGCGCCAGCGCTCACAGCGGCGATAGCGTACAGCTGTCGTTCAGCTCACTGCCATAGGTGTCGCTGCAGCTGCACCACACATTCGCCTTCCAGTGCTGGTAGCGCCCCGCGTGCGGGGCTCCTCACGACCGGCGCTGGTTATGGCACCTTCACGTCGCGCTGTCCGCCGCCCGCCTACGTGTTGATGTAGTTGTTGATCCAGGGCATGAACTTGGCGATGTTGGTGTAGACTCCTGGCAGTCCGGCGCGCGCGCAGCCGATTCCCCAGCTCACCAGACCGATCAGGGTCCGCCGGCCTCCCTTGTATAGTGTCAGCGGGCCGCCGCTGTCACCCTGGGAGAGATGGAATACAGTAAACCGTCAGTATTTTGCATAGACGAGCTCACTTGCAGGTCCGGGGGAGGGGGCATTTGGGGCAACTCTCCACCCTCGCGGCGCCTGAAATCAACGAAAATATACGGTTAAACGGTAATAGGTACCTAAAATATGTATTTTTTTTTTAGAGAAGGTTTGTTTTAAACTGCATTGCAATGCCGCTGGGGCAATGAAGTCCGATGTATTTGGAAATTGGAGAAACTTTTTGTGGGTATGCACCCCGCAGAGTCCAAGACCGCCTTTTTGGATCCGCCAGTGGACGAGTTCATTGGCGGCGGAACGTGGGGGGCACCGGGGCACCGTGCCCCCCTTTGATTTTGCCATTTTAACATTAGCCCTATGGGTGTTGCATGGAATGAATGGGACCAAAAGTCGGCAGTGTCCCCCCCCCCCCTTAATTGAAGGTGTTCCGCCGCTACTGGACGAGTTACGTTTAACTGGGACGTTAATAGCATAATGGACGTTTAGCAGCGAAGAACTCAAGCTTGTCAAGGTACTTAATCTTATGATACCGATAGGTGGTTAATGGTTACAATTTTTAGCTATGGATTACTACGCACAATGCAGATTGCAGCATCCAGTTAAGGGTTGAATATTTTCAGATGATACAATTTACAGCTTACTACAATCTACATACATACAAACACGCGTCAAACCACCGACTGACATTCGACAACATTCGAGCAAAATGCAAATCGTCTCTGGCCAGAGGAACTGAGACGCATCGGAAATACGACCCACGACCCCGGGCTGTCGCTGAGCGCCCCCCTACCCCTCCCCTCCCCTCCCCCAGGCGGCGCGAGCAACAGCGCCCGGGGCGGTTATCGTCTCCACCAATCAGCGCTCAGCGAAGCGTCGGGAAGACGCATGGATGCCGGCAAACAGTGCCCCCTGGCGCACAAAACATGACAAGTGATCGGCGATTTGGCGCCAGTCGCGAGCCCGGATGGTGGAGGTTGGTGGTGTGGGATCGTGATGGGATGGATTTGGAGACTGACAAGTGACAAGTGATCAGTGATGAGCACTGTGCAGTGAAGAGGGCTGCGTAACATCGGTGTGTGAATCAGTACAGTGGATATCAGTGTGTTTATCAGCTCTCTGAGCCTCTATCGCAATCGTGGGAGAGAGCAGATTCTGAGATTGCATTTGGATGGTTCGCGAATGGGAATTGAAAGAACATCTCATGGGAGCAGCCTCTTCAATTGGTGACGTACCGAAAATCAAACGTAAGCGAGATGAGATGCCACGGATTTTGACTCGATTTGAATCAAACATGTTTTGTCATGCAATAAGAAGGCTACTGCAATGCCCAATTAAATTCAGTACGATCTCACTTCACATTATTGTTTTGTTAACACCGTCCGTTATGATGCACATTCTAAATCACTAATCGATATTTGATCTCTAGTCACCCTGTGGAATCTCATCTTGGCTGATGTTTGATATGAATTTTGCTGTCCAAGTGTCCAGTGTCCAACATATCACATGACACCTTATGTAAACCCGTGATACACACACACTCTACGCCCTGTCCCAGCGAGACAGCGCCGTGCCTCACTGCTCACGTCGCCACTGTCTCGGCCTCCGAGAGAGCTGGAGGCAGTTTATTTGTTTGTTTTGTTGGGTTAGGCCCTTTCGGTCGACAAGACCATTGCAGAGCCTGAGGGATGATAGGAATTAGGGGGAGACATTGGTCTGGGCAGGCACCCTAGTGAGTCGCCGGGGCTGAGCCCGTCCAAAGGACAGGCCACCCAGCCCCAAGGCACTCACTGCACCCGGCTACGGGGAACGCTCCCTCAGGAGCAGCGGTGCCGCTCCAAGGGAGCAGCCCGCATGAGATAAAGTTGCCTGTCCAGCCCGGAGGGGGGTTGCGGCGTGGAGGAGAAGGATTTTAGTATCCTGAGGATAGAAGCACGGAACGGTGAGCTGGAGGCAGCAACGCGCCTCCCTATATACCCTGCCTCCGGGAGGCAGTGCCGTACCTCTCTACGTCCTACCTCAGGGAGACAGGCCAGCGACTTTCCTCCCTCTCTCACTCTCTAGTCTCTACCCTGCCTTCGTGAGACAGCGCCGCAACCCGTGGCTCCCTCTTCGCGCTGTCTCCGTGGGACAGCGCCGTGCCTCCCCTGCGCCCTGCCTCCGTGAGACAGCGCCCCATGTCTCACCTGACAGCTGTCGCGTCCTCCGTCCTTGTAGCCGGCGCAGAGGAACACCTTGTGGATGACCTCGCGTCGGCCGGCGCCCTTGTACCAGTTCTGGCAGGTCTGCTGGTCAATGACCACCACGTCCACCTCCTGAAGCACGTTCGGCGTGGACGCCACACCTGCCAGGGGGGGGGGGGGGGGTCAGCCGGGGTCAGTAGGGGTCAGCTGGGGTCAGCTGGGGTCAGCTGGGGAAAAGGAAGGTTATTTGAATCTTGGGCAATGCAAGTAAGTTCAGGTGTTAGAAGTAAGCTGGCAGGCGATATTCGAAATGAGATATGCATGTGATCACCGTCTAAAGTTCTTCCCTGCGCGCGCTACTGCTTGTTTTTGATAACATTTTTTCTGATGGATGGCAATGCTAGCTTAATTTTCCGATTTTTTTTCCAATCGACGCAGAGTTTTCACTGTATCGTTTTTTGCCGGCTCATTTCTGCGCAATGTTCGCAAGAAGACCTTTGAGCCATTTAAAATAATTCAGGTTGAGTTCTCAGCGGACATAATGCAAGTAGATGTAAGGTCGTTGCGGTAAGTATGAATTGGTATGCACAGGTGATCCGTGTCGCTGCATTCGCTTGCTAAGCACGTTTGACTCATTTTGCCGCGGAAGACATGTCCCATTTTGTGCAGATCTACCCTGAGTTACACTTATGTTGCGACTTGCACAGCGATGCTATTCGATTAAGTGGTAACATGGCCTGTTCACAATGCATAGTAGCGGTTCATACTCAAGCTCATAAGCTAAGTTGCTGAAATCTGTGAGTTGTTATTCTCGGGACAAGGAGTTGCTTAAATGTTGTTTTGTTAATTGCTAAGCTATAAGTTGTTTTAGCATTACGTGAGACAATTTAAGCCAAATTAACGCATAGTGTCACCGCTGAAAAATTTCGACCCATTCATTTTTATTTTAAACTCCGCTCCTTTTCAAAATGTCATATATACCTGCTTTTCTGATAACGGCGCGAAAATGAAGTATATTGTGCCTTAGGTATTTTGCTAGGAGTTCTCTTTTATCGCCAGCTCTCCCATAATTAATTAGTTCTCTTTTACCTGCCAACCGTAAAGTCGACGTGTATTAGCTCACATTTTTTTTCTACCATCGCCCACGCCCAAGCAGGTTGACCCATGATACTTGACTATGAATTGTCAGTTCGGCTCTTGGGTGACGTGATGGTATCACTAACCGACAGGTGATGCGTTTAACGACAGCTGCTTACGCCCTGCTCCATGCCTGGCTTATGTCGGCTCATCCACGACTCATATGGCACAGGTGTGTTCCCTGTTAATGCATAGGTATGCCTTAGCGTGTCCGTTTCATGGACTAACTCAATGTTCGCAGTACGTCCCCACCCAGTGGCCGTCTGGTGACCTCAAACTTCAAAGTGCGTAATCCTTTCTCAGTCAGTGACCGGTCATGACCTTACCGTGCGCGGTCCGTCCCAGCCAATAACCATATCGTAGCCTCACTCACCGTGCGGCGCGGTCAGTCCCCAGCCAATGACCATATCGTAGCTTCACTCACCGTGCGGCGCGGTCAGTCCCCAGCTAGTGACCATATCGTAGCCTCACTCACCGTGCGGCGCGGTCCGTCCCCAGCCAATGACCATATCGTAGCCTCACTCACCATGCGCGGTGCGTCCCCAGCCGATGGCGGTGGCCGTGTCGCCGACAAAGGACTCGTCTGTGTTGGGCAGACAGACGGGCACGATGTGCTCCTTAAACACCACGTCCTTGCTCAGCTTCACCATGGACAGGTCGTTCTCGAAGTTGGACGGGTTGTATTTGGGATGCACCTGCGAACGTCAGGACGATGGTGAGTGCCAAATCTTAGTTTCATGTAAAACATGTTGATGCCAAACTAATGAATATGTGCTCAGGGGAGCAAGCCTTATACAGCGGTGCTGCATAATATGCACTATGCACTATTCATTCGTTGGGGTACACTTGGATGCACATTGGACGTATACCGCACACCGCACCCATCGTGTCGACGGGTTGCACATGACAGCTCGGAGGTGCAGATGGTCTCGGGAAGGGGGGGGGGGGGGGAGGGTAGAGATGCTTCTCCGGGTAAGAGTAACAGCTGTGAGTTCCGTGGGGGGGGGGGGGGGAGGTGGAGATGTGGTTCGTTTTTCCAGGAGGATGCAGCACGGCTCCACTCACCACTTTCCGCTCCAGCGAGTAGTCCTCGTGCGGATAGCGCTCAGAGTACTCTCGGACGTTGTACTCGCCCAGACGGATCTTCATACTCGATATGTCGGCTCTGTGGGGTGCCAGAGTTGTATCGTGAAGTTGCAGTAGTTGAAATTTTCGTAATCCAGCTGTGGGGCTTATACCGGTGACCTTGCACATTCAAAAGAAGTTTCACAAATGACCATTTGTTTAAAATGCCTACATGTAAATGTAGGTTATTGCACAATGCACTTGTTCGCATATGTTTGTACTTTGTACTGTTTGATATTCGTTTAATAACACTAGCTGCCTGAATTGCCCAAGGTGTACTGATGAATCACGGGGAGTGAACACATGATAAACTAAACATTTTTTTTTAAAACCATAACTAGACCCAGTTAAGATCGTAGTAACTCGTGCAACGTTTACTACCATTGCGTTTTACAAGGTATTCTCAAGTGGACTCGATGACTCACCTGTAAACGCAATGGGCCGCGGTGACCACCCATCGTTTGTTGACCAGGGCACCGCCGCAAGCAATCCTCTTGGAGAAGAAGCCTTCTTTGATAAGTGCAGCCTGCAGTGGAACATGAACGTCTTAAGAATGTGACACTTGAAGACCTTGATGGATTGCTGTCCCTTAGACTGTCATACAAAGCTACCCCATCCTGCTGTACGGCTATTCAATCATTGATCCACCCTCCCCCCTCAGCTAGGGCGGTCTATCGCTGCTCCTCCGCCATCCCCTACGAAGTAAACTCAATCCCCGCAGTCTGCACCCTCTAGTTCCTGCGACAGATGCTCCATCCATGGCTCTTCCCCTCCGCTGCACCGTTTCATTACTAAGCGTAACAGCCCCACTATGCGCGAACACCCACCTACATTGCCAGGAATGGCTCTTCCTTGCCCCTCTTCTCTCAAAAGAAATCCATCATCCCGTACTCCTCCCCACCGTTACACCGTTACGTTACGCGTAACACCCACCGAGCGTAAACACCCACCCACCTGCCAGGGGTGCGAGCCGAACGACGAGTCGTGACCTCCGACGATTCGGTTGGTGCGACTGTACACCTGACCGCACTCTGCAACACGGAGGTGGTCGGTGAGGGACAGACACCACTCGAGTGTTGACGGGTTAGTTCACCGGGCTACAGAGAATCGATTGATTGTTTACTTCTTAGCAATTAGAACATGTAAGGAAAATGATACGTAAAATACTAATGCATTTCTTGGCAAAGTAGATTCGATACATGCAATAATGGACTTTTGGTAGCGCCATTATAGGTGAAAGTACGTTTCTCGAAGAGATTCACAAATTAACTCATGACGACTCGCTAACAACTCACCGACACACAACAGTTGTGCTCTGTATATACAATTTGTGAGGGAACATGGGCGTTTAACCTTTTATTCGTTTGATTTATTCATTGCTTATTATCATGACAAATGCAGCAATATCACTGGAGAGCTGAGATCATTATCGTGGGTGAGGCCTTTGGTAAAGGAAGCTGCGGTGACGGTGTTTGAAGCTGCTGCGCGCCGCCTGGAGGTCAGCTCAGGTCAGGCTGGCGGCGGGAAGGGACGCGGGTGGAGGTGCAATCCACTACACTACCATCACCAAACATGCGTGTAGACTGTGCGCGCGCGCGTGTGTCGTCGTCGGCCCGATCTGCGGCGCTCTTACTGGCGTCTGCCGAGCTCGAACTGGGCCGGAGCGGGCGCTGCGGCCGGTCTACATGGTTACTGTCCGCGTCGGGGTCGGGTCGGAGACCGGGCCGGCTCGGCGGGGGCAGGCCGGCCAGCGGGCGGGAGGGCCGCGCTGGCCGGACGGGGGGACGGCCAGAGCCCGACACGTACCCCGTGCCGGGCCGCAGCGGCCGGAGCACCACGAACGGACGGTTATCGAACACGGGCCCGAAGCTGGGCACGTCGCCGTCCGCGTGGCCGCCGACGTGGTTGGTCTCGGGGTTGGGCTCGTCGAGGATGGGGATGATGGAGACGGGGTGCGGCCGCGGCGTGCGGTACGGCCGGCTGGGCCGCTCGGGCCGCTCGGGCCGGCCGTGGTGACCGTAGTAGGAGGGCAGGGTGAGCGCGCGCATGGTGGTGACCTGGGGACGGGGCGCCGAGCCGGCCGCGGCCAGGTCAGGGGACGGGCCAGTCGCGTGGGAAGCGTCAAAGTTAGTCGGTAAGTCAGACGATAGGGGACCAAGACCGGCTGTATCAAGAGCAATAGATGTGTTCGAGATGTTGGCACCTGCAAAAAGGAGAAAAATGAGTAGTAAGATAGCGGCTGGGTATTCCATTTCCTTATTATAACATGGCAGACCATCCGTGCATACAAGCGCAAAAGAAGGTCCATAAATTTGTAGTGGCGGAGAAACTGATAGATAATCCAAGGTGTTGAAAAGGGAGCCCTTATTTAAAATCCCTTGTAGACATAGCTAGACACAGTTGCTGAGCTCTCTCTAAAAGGTGTAGAAGAAGTTAAGCTGGCGTTAGGGAAGACAATCATTGATAACCTAAATTTTGAATGAAATTATTTTGGCTGCTTTTACTTTTTTGTTTGGCCTTTTTAACAATCCAACAGGGTTTAGGTAATGTGCTCCTTGATTATTGAAAGCCTCGACTGTGAACGTAAAGTTTCTCATGGAGTCTGTTCATTTGAACAGCCGTACTCACTATGCTGGTTACTGTTTTTTTTTTCTAGTAGGTATGTGTTTTTGTGAATTCAAAATCAATCTCATGAAATCATGAGTAGTCGAATTAGCTTATACCGGCTATGTCGTCAGGCTATTCAAACCCTTCAATGCAATCGGTTCTAGACTACTAGTTCTAGTAATTACCTGTTTCACACATATGTAGAACACAAGTGTCGAGATGAACACATCGCTGTGCCCATTCAACACCCACACAAAAGGGCCAGTTCAACGCAACAAAACATTTCCGGTCTGTTCATTCCGGGCCACGATAGCAGAGATTGACCAATGAGCGACCGCGTACGGCGCTGACATTACTCTACACGCCCACGAGCATTACAGATCACACTCGTTGTCCCTGTGCACTGTGCGTGCGTTGGACAATCGATAAAAAACGGACAAGTTCACTGGTGACGGTCGTCGCGGTCAGGCGCGGCGACCGGCACGGTTGGCTGATCCGATGGCTCCAAATCATCGCAAGGGTGGAAAGGGGAGGTTTAGACACGCGCTGGTGAAGGGCGAGTTCCCGGGAAGAGGCACCGCGGAGTGACGGTGGCACGGGGGTCAGAGTGACGTGTGACGATCTGTGACGGTGCCACTCAGTGTGCCATATCACCGGGGCCGGGCGCGTTAGACAGAGACGGTGGGAAGATGACAAACACGACAGGCAGTCATGCCAAGTGGGGGTGATTTCGAGTTTGAATATGGTGGCACTTTGTACGGTAATTTGTGTGGTACGTGCATTGGGAATGGAAGAGAAGTGGTGTGTGAGTTGAGTTATCATAGTTTCGGTTGGGCTTAAGTTCAGATTTATCTTTTGTTTTATGTTTCATACATGCTAACATCGGAATCGATGGCAGCGCTAGATCATGACGAGTATTCGTGAACGTTCCCTCCAAACAGCCTTCAAAGTTTCCTCGACACTTCACGACTTGATTCATCTCGGTTCTGTCTTGTTCCTCATGTTGCTTTTTTGTCACAATTATTACATCTTTCCGTCTTCATTTGGTCAGCTTTCTGGTACTGCAGATGCGTAATCGTTTTGCGCACGGCAGCGGCTCTTTGCATAATGCATATGATATCCATTTCACTCTGAGCCCGTACAGCTGCCCTCTACGTTCCACACCGCGCTCGATGACCATGAATGACAAAATGAAGTGCGAGCGACCAGTTGACTTAGCTTGAGTCTCCGCCCACTACCATTTTTATAGGAAGAACATATCTTATGATGGCCAATTTGTTTCCTGATCTTGCAAAAAATATGTTGCACTTCTTCCTGACCTTTGTTTCAAGACCTAAGACAGTGTAACAACGACTACTGGTTCCACAGACCGCTGATGCCCAGGTCCATACACAACATGGTGAAGCGGAATTCGTGGAACTTCTTTTTGCGAGACTGCCTACGATGCGCTCCCTCCGTTCTTGCTCTGTGCGGCGCCGTCCTCCTCTCCCACCCCCAGCTGTCCTCTGTCCCCTCCCGGCCGTGTCACCCCGTCCGGCCGGCCGCGCCCCTGGCGCCCACTCACCGGCGTTAGACACGGTGGCCTCGGCGGCGTAGTCTTTGTCGGCCACGTCTCTGGGCACGCAGCAGCTCCAGACCATGCCGCCGTCGCACAGGTCGATGGCCTTCCTGCCGCGCAGCACGCAGCCCACGCTGACGCCGCAGTCGTACTGCGAGCCCCTGTAACTGCACTTCTGCGGGATCACTGCAAACGAGGACCGCCCCGGTCAGCGCGCCGGCCTCGCACCCCGGCGGTACCCCCGGCGGTACCCCGGAGGCACCCGGAGGTCCAGGACCAGTCGGCCGCTGCCGCCGCTGCTGCTGAAGCTGCTGAAGCTGGTGATGTTGGTATTGAGGTCAATGATAGGTCAGTCAGAGGTCATAGGTGGAGTGGGGGGAGTCTGTGGAAGGATTTGGTCGTTGCTGTCATATTGTGGGCTCCTTGGAAACTGAATAACTAGTAGAATGTAGATTATTTGGTGTCTTTTTCGGAACACAAATGTTCTGAGGTTCTATCGGAGAAGAGCCTTCCCATAAACTTTTTTACGTCACTCGACGTAGATTCGTTTCAAACAAGGAAACGCATACCTTTACTAGTCGAGTTTTCCTGGCTCCACTTTTGGCTTTCGTTGCTTGTACACTCGGGGGCAGATTGATGTTCTACAACTCTTTATCCACCGGGTTCCTATGGCTCAGCATTGGCAGCAGCCGCCTGGTACCGGTAGACTGTGCCGCTTCACTTATTTGTCAAGCGGCACAGCCTACCCACCCGTATGACACCGGTCTGGGTCGGTGGCTGGAAGGTGATGTGGGCCGCCTGTGACGTCAGCGCAGCGGTGAGGGCCGAGCCCGGAGGCATGGCTCGGGTCGGCGCGGCGCGGCGGCTGGCGAGGGCTGGGGAGTGAGGTGGGGTGGGAGCACGGACATCGCGCGGCTGAGCGAGTGTAGTTAACTTTCGCGTCTCAAGGCGACAGTTATTCTACCTAACAATTGTGCTAAAGCAGTTGTTAAAATGTCCTATCCCCAAGACAGCGCCTATCATCATACTTGCAATGCACATTACGACACACTTTAGCGTGGCAATGGGACAGCCAATAGAACTTATGTCACTCGTGCATCGAGGTGCGGAGCTATATTTTGTAGGTATAACATATTAGTATTAAGGCCTTGATTGAGCAGATTGGTGTCTATTGTTTCGCACGGCAATCGTCCAGAGACGTGGGAACTGGGGGTTATGAGTAGTGCCGCAGCCAACGCCCCAATTTAAAGCGATTATTACTGTTCCTCTATTATGTGGTCACAGCCCCCAATAGCAAACCGTTCTAACTAGGAGCCAAAAAGTCGGCCGCTCAGGGGGTTCGAACCGGGCTTCTCTCACCGACCAATTCACGACACGAGCGTTCATCCATTGAGCTACCGAGAATGGTGCTCGTCTGCACAAAACAAAATGACATTGACCCGCTGACCGCCAATGACAGTATTGTGACATTTGATCGCGTTTGACCGCCGCGGGTGGTCGCTGGTTTCGGCAGCTCAGTGGATACACGCTAGCGTCGTAGGGTGACCGGTTGGAGAAACCCGGTTCGAACCGTCTCAGGTGCGCGAATTATTTGTTCCTAGTTGGAACGGCTTGCTATTGGTGGCTGCGACCACACATTAGAGGAACAGTAAGAATTGCTTAAAGTTGGGACGCCGCGCTATCCAAAAACCCCAGTTCCCACGTCTCTGGACGATTGCTGTGCGAAACAATAGACACCAATGAGCTCAATCAAGGCCTTAATACTTATCTGTTCTAAACAATGTAGCTCCGCAACTCGATGCGCGTGTGATATAAATTCTATCGGCTGTCCCAATGCCACGTTTAAGTGTGTCGTAAGGTGCATTGCAAGTATGATGATAGGCGCTGTCTTGGGGATAGGACATTTTAACAACTGCTTTAGCACAATTGTTAGGTAGAATAATTGGCGCCTTGAGACGCGAAAGTTAACTACACTCGCTCAGCCGCGCGATGGTCCGTGCTCCCACCCCACCTCACTCCCCAGCCCTCGCCAGCCGCCGCGCCGCGCCGACCCGAGCCATGCCTCCGGGCTCGGCCCTCACCGCTGCGCTGACGTCACAAGCGGCCCACATCGCCTTCCAGCCACCGACCCAGACCGGTGGCATACGGTGTGGGTAGGCTGTGCCGCTTGACAAGTAAGTGAAGCGGCACAGTCTACCGGTACCAGGCGGCTGCTGCCAATGCTGAGCCATAGGAACCCGGTGGATAAAGAGTTGTAGAACATCAATCTGCCCCCGAGTGTACCTACCAATGCTTGGGTCTACAAAAAGGTTCGAACTCCAGTGGTAACATCCATATGCTTCGATTGTTTGGTGGCTCCTCATTTAGTTCAAAAGTTGATTTTTTATTATCGTCTGAAAATCGCGATTATTTCCGCGGAACCCCCTCTCCATCTTTTGGTGTTATTATTTTATTTTTATAAGACCGAAACTATATCGCTTTGCTTGATTTAAACTTATATCAAGTGAGGTCGGGTTTGTGTTCAGTTAAAAAAAAAAGCAAGCCATGTTTTTGTTGCTCTCTAGAGCCATGGTTTTGTCATTTATCTAAAAGGTAGTGGCCCACTTACAAAAAAGATGAAATGAAAAATAAACTGGCGTACCTGTGGTCAATACCCCATGAATTGGCTAGAAACTCTGTTTGGGAACATATAATTGGAACAGGTAACGGATTAACTGAGCTTATGAACACTCATTGCGGAATCGCGGATACCCTACTCTGGCTCAAAAGAGTAAAGGTGTGGCATGATGTTTCAGCAATGTTGTGAAAATAAACATGTGTTCTTACCGCAAAGGAAGCTTATTTCACCAACGTTTACATATATAATAATTTAACTGGAGTGTTCAGCTGGAGTGAGTGCTGTTGGAGAGCTGGAGTGTTACATTTAAACAATGAAAACGGTGGAGGTGGCGAAACAAGTCACAAGTGCATTGTTATCATAGGAAATTCCCCAGTCTTTGTTCATAATCTCGTCCCTACATCTGGCAACATACCCTCGTGCGTCTCAGTGCAAGGTGATAAGTAATTATTCTTGGTCGGATTTGTGTGGCCCAAACTGAAAAAGCAATGATGAAACAACTATCATTCAATTTTGAACCTATGTTGACCTTATTTTACCAAACTGTGCTGCACCAAATTGTAGCCAGATGTGTAGTCCGTCGTGAAAGCGGATAGGATCTAAGCGGCTACCATCCTGCGCCGTCCAGGCAGCTCGGAACCCCTCGGCGACTGTCACGCCCCGCTTCCGCACAAAGAGCTGCCGCCCCTCCCCGTATGCCGGTGGCAGGGCGCGCTCCGCTGCACCCCGGAGCACAGCCGCGACGAGCCGTGACGCTCGGTTACATCAGAGGCCACGTGAAAGGTCCGCACGGCGGCAGTGGTCGGTGACGACCGTCACATTTGACCCACCGGCGCAACCGCGCCGCGTGCGCGCGTCACGGAGCGTGTCACAGAGTCGCGTCACGGGCGTTGTCAGCCAGCAAAGTGGCTTCCAGTCTGTGCTGTCACGGGTCCTGCGTTTACGGTCTCGGGTCTGCAGGGGTGTCGGAAGAGACGAGCCGCTTGCCGAGACTGTAGCTCAGTGGCGCCGTGTTGAATGGAGGCGCCCGTGATGAGCTACCGTGCTTGCGAAACTAAATACACCGCTGTTCCATGGGCTATGCTGAAGTCTGCCACCATTCTACAACTACTGAAGCCGTTATTTGCGCGCTGTTTATGGTCCAAAAGCAGCTGCAAACTAGTTATGGTTTAGTGTTTAGGGTGGATGGTTAGGTTCCTTGCCTACCGGTCCCCCGTCGGAGAGTTGGCAATAAAACGACTTGAACAATAGCTCTAAAACAATCCCGAATGTGTATCAAAAAATGGACAAGCATTAACGGAGAACGTATACTAATTAATATGCATGGAAATGTAATAGAAGACAATAATTTTCAGCTTCATTCATGTCCATTGCTCATCTCTTACATTCATATAGATATGGTTCAACGCAGTAAGCTAGCATAATTTACGAGTAGCATTAGCTGCTCATTCGTTTCAAGCGGAAACGTCTAACATGATTTTATCCCAGTATGACAAATTAATGGAGAGCTATGCGTCGTGAAAAAGGAAGGTACCATGAATTAGCAAAACTCATGACTCATGTGACCACCATGTCCCTTCCAAACGTTTCACCTGCGATTTATGACTGCCAAAAATAGAACATATTGCGTCACAGGCCGTTTTCCATGATTGATCAGGATACGGTTTTTGCACTTCACAAAACGATCTTACATCGGTTTAGAACTTTCTGTCAGCCTGAAATAATGAAAACTCGACGATATGCTGCTTTGATACTTTTAGCTTGATTTCTCAGTTGCCTTAGCTTCTGCCATCTCTGGGACGAAGGGACCGGGTTGCAGCAGAGTTAAGGCCGCCGTCCACTGCGACGGAATTCCGTCCGGAGTCCGTCCGGAATGTCGCCGCACGCTGGCCGCATCCGGTCCGGATGCGGTCCGGATGCGGTCCGGATGCGGAGAGCTAATAAATGTTTCCCTATCACTTATTACCAAATAAAATATTGCAAGTAACCAGCAGCGAATACTCTTGCCATTCTAAGGAAATAATTTTTACTTACTTCATGATGATCGAGTTCCAATTCTTCGTACAATTCACAATGTTTGCCTCCGATACGGCCCCAAATCACGTCTGTTCCGGACGTTCCGGATGCGTTTTCCGCAGAAAAGTTCAACGCGTCGGACATCACTCTTCCGTCTCCGTAGCAACCGCATCCGAAACGCATGCGGAGAGCTGACGGAAAATCAACAGCTGATTGCCGTTCGGATGCGGTCCGGACGGAGCGCACACGATTTCCGTACGGACCGGATGCGCCCATAGGGTTCTGTGTTAAATTCCGTACGGACCGCACGCGTTCCGCACAGTGGACGGCGGCCTTTACTTTTTCACCGGGGCCGGCTGCCACCGTTCCCTGCACCAAGCGGAACGACAGGGATAAGGACGCGCTCGTTACCAGCCGGCCGCCGCACTGTGCGGTCGGTGGTCGCGCTGTGGTAGCGCGTGATGAATGGAGCCAACGGTACGCCGGTACGCAGCGCACTGACACACACTAAACGCCTGGTCGCATCTGGGCTGTCCGACCAGCCCAGATCCGA